TTTGTACAGCAGCTGCAGCCTAGCAACAATTGGATACTTGACTGTTTCAATAGCTTTTCATCTGTGGAGCACAAAAGAAGATATTTTAAAGAATGTTTCAGCGTACCATACAGTGAAAGTCAACAGGGTCCAGAACTTTGAAGCTCCAAAAAGAAGGTGAAAGTTAAACTGGATTTTTCCAAAGTAAAACAAAGAAAGGTGAGCTTTGGAATTATTCTTCTGACTCTGGATGAAGGGTGAGGCAACAATGTTGGGGGCTACTTGCTGACCGAGGAAGTTGTCTGAATCTGTCAGGGCCTCCAGGAATTTCTGTTTGGTCCATTCCTTTGATGTTACTTGGTTTTTCTTATACAGTTGGGGAATTCATGGCCCTAGGTGGCATGATGCAACTTTTGGTCTCATCAGACTCTACTTAAGGAAGTAAATGATGACAGAATTTATTTATTTATTTTTAATTTTAGGGTTAGAGTTCTAGACACTATCAGTAGCTAAAATCACAATGAATATGCCAAAACATTCGATAAAGAAACAAGGCAAACTGTAGAATTTGTGAATGATGGGTGTTCTGCCAAAAATTGTGGAGAGTGAAGACAATAGAACTTTCTGTCTCTCATTTCTCTCACTACTGATGTCGTGTCCTTTAGTGGAGCTTTTAACCCCATCTGCTTCAAGCATGCTTTAGCAGTTCAGCAACTTAGACACCTCTCATTGTTCTCTGGATTACTATGGAGTCTCTTAAAGTATCCCTCTCTCCTTCACCAGGTTTACCTCCGAAAGGCGATCTGAGGGCTGAATAACAGGTGGCAGGGGTCAGCAAGACTCTCAGTCAGAACAGCATTGGATGTTTGTTGCAGATTCATGGGCCTGAAAGACCATCTGGATGATGGAACAGGCCACATCCTCGAACTGGGGCTGGATCTAGACTACCTTCATGTGAAGGCTACAGACCAGCAGACCGGCGCTGACGCTGGACTTATCATGGACAGTGGTTCATCTGACACAGGTGACGTTGTGGCCCCCTGCACTAGGAGCTGCGGTTCTTCTCCACAAGATGACTCAGAGGAAAGTGCAGGATCAGACAGTGAGCCTGCACACAGCCACAGTCATCCTCTTGTCGATACGCTTGGTGATGGGTCCATCCATGCAGTCCACCCACCACACTGTTGGTCTCCAAGTCTGGATATGGATTCACTGGTTCTGGATATGGTACACCAAGAGCCAGGCCCTATGGATACACTCAGGGAATACCAGACAAAGATGGAGTTTGCCCTTAAACTCGGCTATGCAGAAGAATTAGTTCGGCTGGTTCTGAACAAGCTCGGGTCAGATGCACTGATCAATGATGTTCTTGGGGAGCTGGTAAAACTGGGCAGTAAGCCAGAGAATGATGGTGGGACACAGACTCTCTCCCAATCCACTTCCACATCATCATCATCATCCTCTGGCACATCTTCTTTCTGCAGTTTCTCTGACTCACTTGACTCTCGCCGGTCAGAGTCCCCTTCTGTGGAAGATAAGGATAACTTCCGCCCAATTGTTATTGATGGCAGCAATGTGGCCATGAGGTGAGAATCCAAAAACTAAAAAGCACATACAATTGTGTGGTTTAATATAATGTTTATCTTTGTTAAATCATTAAATAATCAATTTATATGACTTGACCTGAAGTAGCAGGGGTAATGCCTGTGGTAATCGTAATGATCACAAATAGTGCTGCAAGTGGCAATTAAAGGTATAGTTCACCCAAAAATGAAAATAAGATGTTTATCTGCTTACCCGCAGGGCATCCAAGATGTTGGTGACTTTGTTTCTTCAGTGGAACACAAACAAAGATTTTTAAATCAAACCGTTGCAGTCTGTCAGTCATATAATGGCAGTCAATAGGCTCCACGGCTTTGAGAGTCAAATAAAACATACACAGACAAAACCAAATTAAACCCTGCGACTCGTGACGATACATTGAGGTCTTAAGACACGAAATGATTGGTTTGTGCAAGAAACTGAACAGTATTTATATAATTTTTTACCTCTGATCCTCTGCAATGTCCAACTATGCGGAGCGCGTTCACAATATCCAATGAGTGACGTATACGCACGACAGATCGCTTCCGCTCATGCGTCTACTATATATATATATTATATATACTATACTATATATATTAATGATAGTCTCATGAAATTGGCTAATCAATACTAATATCAATAGCTATTAGCATTTTTTCTACATTCCATTAGGAATGAAAAAAACGTGGTGCCGACTCTAAACATTTTGAGTACATGGTGACAATGATGCATACTGAGTTTTTAACGAAACACCAATGCGTTCATGAAACATTTTATGAAAAATTTCAAAATGTCTAATACCCCAAAAGGATAAATTGGGTAAAACAGACAGATGTTGAATAGTACACCCCTGCCACACTGATTTTTAATAAATATATATATAATGTACATATTACATTTAGTCATTTAGCAGACGCTTTTATCCAAAGCGATTTACAAATGAGGACAATGGAAGCATTCAAAATCAACAAAAGAGCAATGATACGCAAGTGCTATAACAAGTCTCAGTTAGCTTAACGTAATACACGTAACAAGTTTTTTTTTAATTATATAAAAAATAAAAAGAAAATGGATAGAATAGAAAAAGAATAGAGCAAGTGTCACACTTTAGCCTAATGCGAGGTGCGAGGAACAAGGAGAACAGGAGTACACGAACAACAATAGTCTTTTAATTCAGAATATCCAGGAAGTAACACTTGGCAGCTTGGAACACAGGAAACACAGGCGTTGACGTTCAGTCTCAGACAAAGACAGACAGCACAGACTGGGGCTAATAAACACTGGGCAATTAGGGAAACACAGGTGCATGGAATGACTAATTAACTGAGACATGGCACACCGGGGGAGGAAAACCACAACACAATGAGTCCAGGGGCGTGACATTACTCCCCCCTCCCGGAAGGTGCGTCCTCGCACTGTAGAAACAACATGGGGAGGGGAGTGGGTGGGAAATAGGGAGGAGGCTCAGGAGGAGGACGGACACCCGGGAGGGGGCCGGCAGACAGATTCCAGGGAGGAGACGACGGAGGGAGGAGCCAGTGAGGAGACAGGAGGGACTCGGAGCAGGAAGAGCACAGCAGGACCAATAGTGCTGCAAGTGGCAATTAAAGGTATAGTTCACCCAAAAATGAAAATAAGATGTTTATCTGCTTACCCGCAGGGCATCCAAGATGTTGGTGACTTTGTTTCTTCAGTGGAACACAAACAAAGATTTTTAAATCAAACCGTTGCAGTCTGTCAGTCATATAATGGCAGTCAATAGGCTCCACGGCTTTGAGAGTCAAATAAAACATACACAGACAAAACCAAATTAAACCCTGCGACTCGTGACGATACATTGAGGTCTTAAGACACGAAATGATTGGTTTGTGCAAGAAACTGAACAGTATTTATATAATTTTTTACCTCTGATCCTCTGCAATGTCCAACTATGCGGAGCGCGTTCACAATATCCAATGAGTGACGTATACGCACGACAGATCGCTTCCGCTCATGCGTCTACTATATATATATATTATATATACTATACTATATATATTAATGATAGTCTCATGAAATTGGCTAATCAATACTAATATCAATAGCTATTAGCATTTTTTCTACATTCCATTAGGAATGAAAAAAACGTGGTGCCGACTCTAAACATTTTGAGTACATGGTGACAATGATGCATACTGAGTTTTTAACGAAACACCAATGCGTTCATGAAACATTTTATGAAAAATTTCAAAATGTCTAATACCCCAAAAGGATAAATTGGGTAAAACAGACAGATGTTGAATAGTACACCCCTGCCACACTGATTTTTAATAAATATATATATAATGTACATATTACATTTAGTCATTTAGCAGACGCTTTTATCCAAAGCGATTTACAAATGAGGACAATGGAAGCATTCAAAATCAACAAAAGAGCAATGATACGCAAGTGCTATAACAAGTCTCAGTTAGCTTAACGTAATACACGTAACAAGTTTTTTTTTAATTATATAAAAAATAAAAAGAAAATGGATAGAATAGAAAAAGAATAGAGCAAGTGTCACACTTTAGCCTAATGCGAGGTGCGAGGAACAAGGAGAACAGGAGTACACGAACAACAATAGTCTTTTAATTCAGAATATCCAGGAAGTAACACTTGGCAGCTTGGAACACAGGAAACACAGGCGTTGACGTTCAGTCTCAGACAAAGACAGACAGCACAGACTGGGGCTAATAAACACTGGGCAATTAGGGAAACACAGGTGCATGGAATGACTAATTAACTGAGACATGGCACACCTGGGGAGGGAAAACACAACACAATGAGTCCAGGGGCGTGACATTACTCCCCCCTCCCGGAAGGTGCGTCCTCGCACTGTAGAAACAACATGGGGAGGGGAGTGGGTGGGAAATAGGGAGGAGGCTCAGGAGGAGGACGGACACCCGGGAGGGGGCCGGCAGACAGATTCCAGGGAGGAGACGACGGAGGGAGGAGCCAGTGAGGAGACAGGAGGGACTCGGAGCAGGAAGAGCACAGCAGGACCCAGGCCACAGCCATAACAGCGGCCCATGTTGGAGCCGACGGAGGGAGGAGCCATGGAGGAGGAATGGCTCGACTCCACGACTCCAGTGGTGGAGGAGCCCGAGGCGGCCTGAGCTGGATTCGGGGGCTGGATCCCTCCCCTCTTCGTTTTGGCACTTATGTCCCGCCATAGTCAGCTCACCCTCAGCCATGATGCAGGGGGCGGAGCTCCTCTCCGCACTCACACCGTCCATGGCTTGCTCCCTCGTAGTGGGCACTGTCGCCGGCTCTCGCACCTGATCTGACGGATTGGGCTCAACTTCCGAGGCGATCCTCTGCTCAGTCGCTTGGCTTTGCTCTGGCTCGCGGATCGCGGCGGGAAATGGCTCTCCGTCATCGGTGGGCTCAGGCTGATGCTTTGTACGCTTTGGGCGATGGTGGGCTGGGCTCTGGGTCTGGAGTGGATCCGGCGAGATCCTCCACGGGGCAGATGGTGAGTGGCGACCTGTTTCTCACCAGAGTCGACGGCAAATTCCTCCCGAGGACCATCTTTGGACGACAGCGCTCTGCACTCAGCGTTCAAGCGTCATAGGAAGAGCAGAGTGCGTCTTCCGGATAGCTGGTGATGTTAGCGACCAACAGGAACAGATTGGAATGGTCCTCGAGAGCTTTGACTCCCTGCTCCAGCAGGAGGAGGATGAATTTGGGGCGAGTGAAGGGATCCATGGGAAAACACTACGGAAACAAAAAACTGAGGAAAACCCGGAAACAAAACGAAGGGTAGACAAACGGAGGTAATTTTATTGGTCTGAGATTCTGTCACACTTTAGCCTAATGCGAGGAGCGAGGAACGAGGAGAACAGGAGTACACGAACAACAATAGTCTTTTAATTCAGAATATCCAGGAAGTAACACTTGGCAGCTTGGAACACAGGAAACACAGGGGTTGACGTTCAATCTCAGACAAAGACAGACAGCACAGACTGGGGCTAATAAACACTGGGCAATTAGGGGAACACAGGTGCATGGAATGACTAATTAACTGAGACACGGCACACCTGGGGAGGGAAAACACAACACAATGAGTCCAGGGGCGTGACAGCAAGCTAGTGTTAGAGGTCTTTTTGCTTTTGTTAATTGTAAAATAAATAAAAAGAAAAGAAATATATAGAAAAAAAAGAAAAGAGAAGCGAGTGTTATTTTTTTTAAAGAAAACAAGCAGTTAGTTAATGAATAGAGTGCTAGTCTAAAAGGGGCAAGTTTTTTATTTTTTATATTTTTATATTATAATATTGTAAAACTGCAATATAAAAATACTACTTTGCAGATCTGCAACAGGGCTACAGGTCCTTCTGAGTTGGTGTCAAGGTATATGAGAGTGTCCCATCTGTATGATTACTTGCAGTATATGCTTGCAGTTTAGAATATACGTGATTGTTTTATTCTTCATACAACAGGACTTAGTGTGAAATACTATACTATATTATCTTATTCTTCATTTTAAATGGACAGCAACTTTTTAATGTCTGGTAACTTGAAAAATAATTGTTTCAATATTATTGTGATATATATAATAGATAAATTAACATTCAATGATTTATAAGCACATTACAGATTTACTTTAATTCTATAAAACAATATTGACAGTGCACTATATAAACTGGTTTTGTTCACTTTTTTGTTCAAACTAATGTAAACTGATAGAAAAAGATTAGTCTAAAAAGATTTCTTATCCTGTACCTCTAGTGGACAACATTATTACAGCACTCATCTTTTACAGCACACATTGAGTTTAATTTTTTTAGTTGAAATGTCTGATGGTTTTGCTGTTAGCCCTCTGAGCAGCAGAAATTCATGAAACTAAGCATGTTTTCTCAGGATGAATTGTTCTCCATATGTACAATGTTTTGAGAAGTTTGGACTTCTTGTGTGCACACAGGCATTAGGGGTGTCGAAATTAATCATTTCTTCGATGCATCGCGATGCAGACGAGGACGATTTGGTATCGGTTCAGTTATAGACCATAACTGATTATAACATACTGACACTTTTCTGATATCATTTGTCGCATATGTGCTAGTGATGGGAAGTGCGGATCATTTTACCGACTCGGACCTTTGAGTCTCATTCAGCAAAATGAACTAATCTTTTTTCGAGTCATTTCGTTCATTTTAGCAAAATATAATTAAAATGTTACGTTTTACTTCCCTAATACGTCTACTACTTACGCAAACGTTGATCACACTACAAACAATACACAACTGCTATAAGAAACAGAAAAGATTAATTCATTGTTTACCTGGGTCTTCAGTCTATGATCACCTCACCTCTTATCTGACAAGTCTTCGGGCTTATGGGGCTGTCACGTGATGAATGAACGACTCAAACCCGAAGACTCGAGAGATGAACTAATCAATTCTCTTTCCGGCTCAGACTGCATTGGTTAAACTTATGGGGCTGTCACGTGATGAACGAACGACTCGGAAAAACCCGAAGACTCGAGACATGAACTAATCAATTCTCTTTCCGGCTCAGACTGCATGAATTGCATATGACAAATATTGAATTTTTCTAAAATAATTTGTATTCTTCATATTACTTGTATGACTGGGTATCTAAAATGTAACTGAATAAGTCCGAATTAAAACTTATTTGTAAAGTAAGATCTGGGGGATCGGACATTTGGACACGCAAAGTGAATCGCGCACGTGACTGGACAGAACGTGAAGCTTCGTTTGTCATTTGTCACATGATTTCTATGACAATTAACAACACAACACAAGCTTTGAATTGAGGCTTCATCTAGCACGCCCATTTATTCTCGACACTAGCTTCGATGCCTCGGTTCAAATGTCACATCACTAGCAGGGGGTAATACCACTAACTTAAGAAACCAGGTCAGGTACAGTTCATGTATCTGACTGCTTGTATTTATTGACAAAATTTTATAAATGTGAAGTAAAATTGAGGATGCAGTGCATTGTCAATGCAATGTAATGCATTGTGATATCGAATTGAACCGAATCTATGACATGATAATCGTAACCAAACCGAACCGTGAGACCAGTGTAGGTCCACACCCCTAATAGGCATATTCAGTGGTGGATTTAGTGATTTGGGGGCCTCAGGCAAAATACAGGAATGGGGCCCTATACAATTTCACACATCTACAACCTTGAGGTTTCTTTCACTGTTGCTCGCTGCTGCACGACCGTGTCACATAGTTGTGTCTAATCTTTCAGATTTTTCATGTACATGTTATAAATAAATGATTTCTTTAATGTTGTAAATCCCTTGTTCACATTTAAACAGGTTATAATAGTATTAGAGTAGGTTGGACACTAAGTGGTGCGTTGGGGTAATTTTCACTATGCAATTGTCTACACAACTCAAGGCTGTCTAATTCTAAACTTTAAAATATATTTATTTTTTATTTATTTTAATTGCACATTTAAATTAAACTGAAGGAAATTATACATTTACATGCTTACGAATTATTTCAACCAAACATGGTGTGCCGGTGTGGAAAGTGACTGTGCATGGTCCTTCTTGGGTCTTTCACAAAAACGAGTGAGCGCCATTTAAAAAAATTAAAATAGGCCCTATATAATATGCACTGTTGCTTAGTATTAAAATTATAGCTTCAGATGCATGATATCTGTAGGGCCCTATGAAATCCTTGTGTAATTAATTAAAATCATGAAACTTGTTTAATTTAACAGCA